AATCATCATTGAATAAACCTAACAAGTATTTATGTTTAACCATATTGAAAAGATTGTATTTTTATGGTTGGAAAAGATCGCCAGCTGCGCCCCGGCACTAACATTCATGTTTACTTCTGTTAAAAACGAGCATGCTGGCTTGTGACGTCATTGCGTCCTCTACTGCGCATGCGGGACACTTGCGTTGTATGACTGCAGTTCACACAGGAGATCACATACTAGTCGCATATATTTGGAAATATGAATGGCAATGCAAAAAAATCAGATTTCGCAAAAAAAATCGGAATTGAGCATCAAGGACTGCAGTGTGAACGTAGCCATAGAAAGGTATGGGGCATTGCAGGTTAACTAAAGAAACAAAACAACCCCCATTCCAAAGGAGAGGACCCGTTTGTCCATTTCTATTTGCATGTTTTCTAAGCACAAAAAAGGCTTTGTTGGGCTGCTGGATAAAGCCTCGAACTCAACTCTATTTCTGACATTATGAATTGGAAAATTTTCCTGGATAGGAAGAGAAACGTCTTCAAACTTGGAAACAAAGTCCAGTGGATGTTTTTTTTTTTTGTTTTTTACTTTTTTGGAGTAACTATAACCTGAATGACTGAGATAACTACACTTTTCTATATAATTTATTAAGATTTCATGTGAAATAAAAAACAAAACAAAAAACAAAGCACCTGATAATCGTAAAGTGGATGGAAAATGATGGATTAGTTTAAAGTTTTAGGTCTATAGAAATAATTATTTCTCCGAGTTCATCATGAAATTCCATTCAGAAACAATTGAGAGTGTATATAAACATGTTTTCAATTCTTACCACAATGTCTCCTTTAAATTTTGGTTTGAACTGACTGGATCAACAGGGATATTCTTTGCAGACTTTTTATTGTCATTTTGTATAAATACTTTTATCTATATTATTCTTTAGTATCTTAATGAATGTTTTAGATGTTGGCTAAAAGTCTAATATTGGTCTCATCGGTACGGTGGCTGAGAAGTGCAAAACACATTTACAATTCAAAAACACNTTTTGTTTTTTATTTGTTAATGTGTTTTTGAATTGTAAATGTGTTTTGCACTTCTCAGCCACCGTACATCGGACCAGAGCGCCTTATTCCCACAAGTTAACTGTCTCCTTAGTGACTTTAATTTGAACTTTTCATTGCTTTCTGCAGCCATGGGCCTCTTCTTGTTTCCGTACCACAAGAAGATCAAAGTTCCAATGAGTTTTCACATAAAAACCTGCATTTATATTGAGATTAAATAACACCTATGTATAGTATTTTCTTTTAATTTAATTGGTACACTTCATTCAGGGATATCTCAGCAAATGGCCAATAATACACAGACTTTATGAACATTTTACTTCCACTTTTACATAAATTCCAAAGAGAAAAATTTTTTTTAAGTTAGATAAATTTTAGGCACTGCAGCATTTCAACCATGTTTCATCATATAAATCTGCTTGAAATGTGAAGAATATTGCTGCTAATGAACTGCTTCCTAAATGTTAACTGTGTGATGATTACTCCAGATGTCATGGTGGGAGACTACCGAGGGACGAAAGTAGCTGTGAAGTGCATAAAAAACGATGCTACAGCTCAGGCCTTTATTGCAGAAGCCTCTGTTATGACGTAAGGCTTGAAAATATAGAAATACTTTATAACCAAAACACAAAAACCAAATGTGACATTGCCCATTGCTCCTTTTTTTTTTTTTTTTTTACCAGGCAACTACGGCACAATAATCTGGTCCAGCTGCTTGGTGTGATCGTAGAGGAGAATGGAAGTCTTTTTATAGTTACGGAGTATATGGCAAAGGTAGGGGGCTCCATATTGGATTTTTGTCTCTAACTGGAATCTTTTTTAACATATCGGATTAAATATATCCTCATGGGGGGGGCTTACGTTTATGTTTGAACTTTTTGCAGGGCTGTTTAGTTGACTACCTACGGTCCAGAGGGCGTACGGTACTTGGTGGAGAGGCACTCGTTAACTTTTCTTTGTGAGTATTCCTTTATATGTGTAATTATGATACAATGGAGTGAAATATTTAAATGTGCTGACTAAAGATATGCTGCATTTTCCATTGTTTGATGTTCAGTTATACTGAACTTTAACCCTTTAAAGCCTGATCCTAGAATAAAACAAAACAGAAAATTACTTTTTTTTGGTCTAAAGTCCTTATTTAGCCTTTTAACAAAATATGTAAAAATAAAAAACAGAAATACATTTTTGATATTAATAACTATGCGATAAGTCAAGATAATTTTTTGTGTAGTCTTCTGCCCTCTGTTAACAGGTATATCTGATAATGTACAATAGGATTTTGAGAAAAGTTTTTACCATTAAATTATGCAAAAGTTGTCAGACGCAAAACATTTCAGAAACTGCAAAAACAATCCAGAAATAAGTAAAAAATGGCTTAAATTAAGTATATTTAGCCTTAATTTGAGCAGGTAAATAAGATGATTTGCCAATGGAATGAGTATTTTCACACTTAAAATAAGATAGTTAGATAA